AAGCACTCACCTCTTGTTACCATTTTATCGAAAACCGCAACTGAAATTGATAGCCTCCACTAGTTCCACAAAAATTCTTTAGAGTAAGATCATAACCTGCTATTTAGAAGTTCACAAGCTGATCGCACTTATTTACCATAAGTAAATCTCCATCTCAAATGTCAATTCAAGCTTATAACTTCTAAGATCAATTCTTATCATACCAAATATCGACATGTATAAGGACTTCTAATATAAATTCTCCTTTTCTAACCAAGAAATAATAATCTATCTCAACTAGTCACGATGTAATTCTCAAAATCTCAACTTACTATCTAGAGATCACAACTTATCAGAACAATGATCATGACTTATCACTTCTATAACATTAGTAGAGTAATTCCACGGACCAACTGCTTCAAATCCTCAAGTGCTATTTGTCTTCCTAAACGCTCTTCGAGTACATCAATATATCTTCGGTGAACACCACAATAAATCTATTTATACACTTGTGAATACTCAGATCATCAAAAACATGAAAGCAGAAGGCACATTCATTAATCCAAGACGAATGATAAGAAATTCCTAATGGCCATATCTTGTTCCAAAAACAATTCTAGGCACATCGTCTCTTTTTCTTTTTCAAGTTCAGAAAATGTCATGCAATGCGGTGTCTTAAAGAAACTGATGCACCCAATATCCATTCGATACAGAAATCGATTTCTTTATCAGTAGATAAACCCGGTAGATTCTCAAGAAACACATCTGATAACAACAATACTTTCCAACTTCACAACATTCTTTCTTGTGTCTTTCATATTGGCCAGGTAATCACATCAGTATCATAATGTGAGGATAACCAATCAATCACCTTAAATAATATCGAAATCATGTATATTCAACTCCACCAGATTTCCATGCAACTCTTTATCATCCATTCGAAACACACTTCTTGAACACATGATTCGCAACTAAGAAGTCATTACTTTACAAAGTGAAGTATGCTTCTCTGAATCAGAATCGATAACCGTTTGGACTCAAAATGAATCATACATCCCAGTACTTAACAAAAGTTTGATGCGCTCTAACACACTACCTCACAGTGTCCCATAGACTATGTACCCCAAAAATTATATCATAAGCTCTGATACCACAAGATGTCACACCCCGAAACCTATCAGGATGGGGGATGACACGGCCGTCCTTCCACCCAGAGGACGCAGCCTCAAACCACCCAAAAATCCCCACGACATCACTCTCGCTCTATCGGTTATCAACCAAAGAACCTGAAAAGATTGGGGAAAAAGAGGGGTGAACGACCACAGCTCAGTAAACAGTGCGTATCTCTTCTAAGCAGATCGAGCAACCACTATGCATAAAGCCATACCAGAATTTCAAGAGCCAAACTCAAGATATAAAGTACATATCGAGTCACATAAGAGTTATTTCATTTCAACAAGTTTTATACAATTCAGAAAATACTCATTTAAATCATCATAAACATCAATGGTCAAGTCGATTGATCAATCTATATTAAAAACCACGTCAATGGTCCATTCCATTGACTAATCTCAAATCACACATCAATAGTCTATTCCATTGATGAATCTCATATCACATCAAACGTCGATGGTCTATTCCATCGACCAATCTATTGCTCAATATCTAACCATGGTCACAACACAAAGCCTTGTGACAAGGCTACCAAGATTCCCCCCTTGGCAAGGTCTCCACCTACAAAGCCGGTGGCTCGGCCCAGAAGGATATCCTAAACTCGGTATGCATACCCCCAAAACCCCTCAATGGGTTCACAGTCATATTGAGCATCAAACAATCATCATCCAATATCAGAAATCCAATCCATAATACATTTCACAAACGAAACAAATAACTTTCTCACAATACGGCTCATCCGCCAGAAATACATTTCGTAGAGCATTTCTTGAATAATTTCCGAACTCATTTCATAAATTAGTTCATAACGCAATATACAAATGTATCCTTTCATAATACATTTCCAAAACGATTCTCAAATCATTCTCAAATACTAAAAAGTAGTAAATGCTCGATCCCGATTTATGCAACAAAATGCTCTTTTAAGTTCAACATATATATTTATGTCGAATCATAATTCTTTCGAGATATGATTTTTATAAAACCAAAGAAGAGATATCACCACTCACCTGGAATCCCCAAAAATCAAATAACGACGCTCACCTGAACTGACGATCTCATAATCCTAACAATTAAACGAAAATCGACGTCAAAACCAAGTAAAATACTACGACAATTACGAAACGGCTAAACGACGCTTAAACGCTATCAAGACAACTCAAAGGCGCTCACAAATTGCTTATCCAAAGCGATTATCCAAACCGTCCGCAACGCGGAGCTTGAGCACAAAACTTGATCGCGCCATAACTTTCTCCATCGAACTCCGATCCTAGCAAACTTATAGTCAAAAGAAAGCCTGTTCCGAGTATTACAAAAGCCCCAACTTGGCCGTCCCAAAATCGAGCCGAAAACCGACGAAAATCTACCTAAAGCCTGCTGGTCATGCACTGTTCACCTTGTGCAGCCAACTTCAAAATTCATATTGGGCAAATCGTAGGTCCAAATCAAGATCCGTAAAATCCCACGGCTCCACGACACCCTAAACTATCAATTCTATATATATATACGCAGCTCAACGACTCAAAAATCGGATTTCGCCACTCAAATAGCACATAATTCCGAAATATGAGCCCTAACCCGGAAAATACTCCGATTAGACGAACGAGAGGCGTGAGCACTTACCGTACATTGCGTTACGAACTCGAATCGGCTTGGGAAGACCCCGTGGCACCAAACCCTCTCTTTCTCTTCCTTCTTTCTTCTTCTTCTTCTCTTTTCTTCTCTTTCTTTCTTTTCCATTTCTGTCTCGGCTAAGGAGCTCTAGGCCTCCTTTTAATTTGGCCGAGTGTCCACTGTAGCTTCTTTCTGCTTTTTGACTTGTTGATTTTTTTTTAAACCAAATATTACAGTCTGTATTCGCCAAATTGAGCTCATTCAACGCACGGAGAGAGGAATTGAGAGACTAAGAGGCCGGAGAAAGAGACCTTCCAGCAATCACTGTGTCCACGCCGAGTCTGACAGCCCGCCAACACTCCCTTCCTCCACCAAGTCAAAGCTATAGCTTCGAGGCAATCGCCAATTCGGACACGATTAAGGGCCGCACAAATGAATATTGAGGAGCAAAACGCTCGTTTCGCCGCTCTCGACAACAAGATCATTGATCTTGCGGCCCAGCTCACTCAGTTCACCAATGATATGAGGACCGCGCTAACAGTACAGAATGCTAGTCAGGTCGAACCTCAAGCCGTCCCCGAGCCCGTAGAAAGACCTGCGAGAAGGAATGTTACTGAGGAGGCATTGGGTTCTACACCTGTAGTGGTCAAACTAGACCGCATTTCGGAAGCCGTCATAGCCCGTTTGGAGGAAGAGCACAACAAGAGATTTGCAAAGATAGAAGAGAAACTCCGTACACTACGAGGATACGAAGAGCACGTGATCGAGGATCTGTCTCAATACGCACAAATGAGCTTTCCTGAGAAGTTCAAGATTCTCAACTTTACTAAGTATGATGGGACTGGAGACCCAAAGATCTACTTGAAGTACTATTTGAATCGAATGGCGAGGTGTGCTCAGAATGTCCCATTAATGATTCAGACCTTCCAAGAAAGTTTGATGGGGCCTGTATTGCAATGGTACATGTTCTTGGAACTCAAGAAGTTTTAGAAGTGGGAGGAGTTAGCTGAGGCGTTCGTCCTGCAATACAAGTACAATACCAAGATAGTCCCCACGTGCGAAGTGTTGACTCGAACAGAAAAGAGAAGAAGTGAGTCCTTCAGAGCCTTTGCTCAAAGATGGCGTACTCTCGCCACTCAAGTTCGACCCTCGCTCAACGAAAAGGAGCTACTGGATCTCTTCCTCAAGGCCTTGCCTAATGATTTCTATTTAAAGTTGGTGGACTCTGGATGCCTGACCTTCTCTCAATTGGTAGATGTCGGAGAGAGGGTAGAAGGGGCCATGCATGATGCTAGATTGAATGAAGGAACTAGCCGGAAGGTCCCGAATAGAAAAGAAAAGGATGTGGAGATCGCGTATATATAAGCGCCGGTTGTGACAAGGCCCTCTGCCTCGTCCTCTCAAGGCCTGTCTGTGTTTCGAGAGAGGGCATATCAGAGTTATGAATTCAAAAAGAAGGTACCAAGGCAATTCACTCCTCTGCCTAGACCTTTATCCAAGTTGTTGCCTATGTTGTTGAGAAGGGGAATGATAGCCAAAGATGTACCTCGGGATAATCCTCCAAAATTCCCTGGGTTCGACTTATCGAAGTCTTGCGAGTTCCATAGAGGCGAGAAGGGTCATGATGTAAATAACTGCTTCACTCTCAAGAACAAAGTTCAGAATTTACTTGACAATGGCATTTTATCCTTCAAGAATCCACCCCCTAATATCCATCAAAATCCGTTGCCTAATCATGCCGAGAATGTCAACGTAGTTACAGAAGAAGGCAATGAGAGTAAGCAAACCTTTAATGTGGATGTTCATGAACTTTATAAGTTACTAGTGTCAGCTGGACACTTTGAAGATGGGGAGGATATTCCAATGGAAGAAAAACTGAAATATATCACTCGGACGGTAGATATGGGAGTCATCTATAGTATGAAGGAAGATAGTATGACGACCCTGACGGCTGTTATTGACTCATTATGTGAGAAGGAGTCGGAGGAGACACCTGTTGATCCCTTACCATGAATTCCTTCTAGAAATAATAAAGGAATTTGAGGAGATTTCTTTTGATTATTTGCCTCGATCGCAGAATCAGTTCACCGACGCCCTGGCCACTTTATCATCAATGCTACAAGTCATGGAGGGGGTTAGACATCGAGCCACTGAAAATCGAAATATTGACACGTTCAGCTTACTGTTCGGCAATCGCAAATGAACCTGATGAGAAGCCGTGGTATCACGACATCATGAACTATCTTCAAAAGGGTGAATACCCTCCTAGAAGTGAACTAGCGGATCAGAAATACATAAGGAAACTAACGTTGAAATTGTTCATCAGTGGCAATGCTCTTTATAAGAGGTCTTTTGACTCTATTTTGTTGAAATGTGTCAATGCCAAAGAGGCTAATCAGTTGATGAGAGAAATACATGAGGGAGAGTGCGGTCCGCCCATGAATGGTCACCTTTTGGCTAGAAAAATCATGAGACTGTGTTACTTTTGGATGGCTATGGAGGCTGACTATATTCGGCATGTTCGTTATTGCCATCGGTACCAAATTCATGCAGACAAAATCAACGTACCACCGAATGAATTGCGTCAAATGTCTGAGTCATGGCCCTTCTCAATGTGGGGGATCGACATGATTGGGCCAATTAATCCTAAGGCTTCCAATGGACATCACTTCATCTTGGTAGCCATCGATTATTTCACCAAGTGGATCGAGGCGAACTCATATGCCAATGTCACCGCTAAGAATGTAGCCAAGTTTATTTGCCGTGACATCATCGCTCGTTATGGAGTCCCGGAAGCGATCATTACTGATAATGGCTCGAATCTGACCAACAAGGTGGTAGATGGCTTACTCGATGAGTTTCATATTCGTCACCTGAATTCCTCACCTTACCGCCCGCAAATGAATGGAGCCGTGGAGGCAGCCAATAAGAACATAAAGAAGATCCTGTCGAAGACTATCGATAATTATTGAGACTGGCATGAACGGCTGCCTTATGCATTGATGGCATATCGAACTTCGATTCGCACTTCGACATGGGCGACTCCTTTCTCACTCGTTTATGGTATGGAAGCGGTCTTACCCGTGGAAGTCGAAATCCCTTCATTAAGGATTCTCTCACAAGCTGAGCTCTCTGAGGAAGAGTGGACTCAACAGAGATGGGATCAGTTGAATATGATTGATGAGAAGAGACTAGAGGCTTTATGCCATGGTTAATGCTACCAAAAGCGAGTTGCAAAGTCCAACCTCGATATTTTGAAGCCGGAGATCTCGTGCTAAGGAGAGTGTTGTCTCTCACGCCCGAATTAGATGGAAAGTTCGCCCCAAATTATGATGGTCCGTATGTCGTTAGAAAGGTTCTACCTAGGGGTACCTTAATTCTTGTAGAAATGGATGGCCAAGAGTTACCAAACCTGTAAACGTCGATTCGGTGAAAAAGTATTTTCCTTGGATGAAATCCAAGGCCCGAGAGCCATTTTCGATGCAATCCGAATCACTGTAGGTTATTCACATCATGCATATCATGCATACATGCACACATGTTTACTTTGTAGGTCCTAAACAATCCGCAAATTGATCCACGAACTACTGAACTGTCTTGGCAAGCATCCAACAAGCCAAATGCGAAGGAGGGGGTTACCAAGTCATTAGGCCGCAAGTAAGTACCCTTTTTCTTAATGCCAAAAGAAGGTCGAATGGAAAATTTGCTTTGAAAAAAAAAAACAAAAAAACAAAAAAGAAGAAAAAAGGTTCTTGGCTGGTTTGAGAAAAACAAGCATAAAAGTAGAAATTGTGAAAGTAAACTTTTCACAAAAATTTTGAATATCATCATTGTCCAAAGTTGTCTTGATGCTTGGGGAAACATTCATTTTGAATCAAAATTCCCTATGGAGATCAATCTACTCAGGTGATCTTGGCAAAACAAGAAGAAATATATTAATCATGCCAAGCGAGAAGCACTTAGAATGAAGAAAGGCGAACCATTCCCAAACACGTCCTATAAACACTTTGTGAGTTGAGTGCAGAAAAAAAAAATCGTGTTTTAGGACGAGAGATTCATTCGCAAATAGTACATGGATCAAAGTGAAAAGAGGCATTTCTTTCATCCATCCTACACACTACAGGTAATCATAGTTAAGCCCCTTCGAGCCTTCACATGTGAAGAATTTCTACAAAATACCCCTATCAAGAACCACCCCACAATGGGGCAAGTTTGGAGGTTTTGGTTGACATTCTTTGGAGGAAAAGATGATAAAGATTTTTTTGCTCTTACTTGCATTAATCTTTGGTGGTAACTTCAAATGAGTCCTTATGGAAGCTCGAAGCGTCCCAAAATGAAGAAGAGCATTTCTTCCTCTACCCAAACACTTATACCCTTTGTTTAGCCAAGTTAACCCTGAACATTCATTTCAAAAGCCCGAGTAGCGATTATTTCTATAGCAGTCTGAATTTTCGATCCTTTTCCCCAGATTTATGAAATGAATATTTGGCCAATGCACTTATAGTGAGATCTAACCCGGAACCGCGTATTCTCGGGATGCTAACCATAGGGGTAAGGCCATCACGGGATTGAGTTCGCACGACCAAAGAACTCGACCTAGGTTCGATCTTCGACCATAAGGATTGACGAGGGAATGTTTTGGGCCAACAGAAACCGATCTATTTGATTGATCGTGTCCGAAGGGAACTAGCAACAGACTCTCGCAATTACATGACAATCGAGGTCGCCCTGGTTTGAGCAAACTTAAACGTGATTTGACTTAGTGTCGGTCACGGGTCGAGAGCGCGTAATCCTAATGAGCCACCCGTTAGCCAGAGATAAGCTAAAGTCGCGATTGTTCGATTCTAGTCATTTCTTGGAATTTGGGCCCGGGAATCGAGAATTTTGAAAGTGACAATTTTGAGCGGCCGATGACGTTTTTGGCTTGGCCAACCTTGGGGCCACCCATTTCTGCAAAAAAATGGATTTTGGTTCGGGACCGGAAAAATGACCATTTTGCCCCTGGACCATGTGTTGGGTATTCCGAATTTTGGATTGGAAATTTGGAATTAATTAAGATATGTTTTCAGCTCAATTATTGGGGCTAATGACCATAATACCCCTCAATTATTGGATAAAATTAAATCCAAGCCTTTGGATCAAGGGCATTTTGTTCAAAGCAATGGAGATGGTGACACATGGAGTCCACTCACTAGTATTTGACCCCTTTGACCTCTCTCTCTCTCTTCACATTTTTCTTTCTCACGAAGCAAGTCCCTCTCTCTCATTTTCCTCTCCATTTCCCGCCGGTCATCCCCTCCTCCATCCAGGCGTGATCGCCAATCGCCCAGCACGCCGCCGCCGCGCCGTCGTTCGCTGCCTGGCCGACGGCGACGCTGCTGCTGCTGGGCCGGCTATTCCAGCCCCTTGTCCAGTCCGTTTGTCCGCCTTTTCAAAGTAAGTGACTTCCCCAAACTCTCCCTAGGACCTCGGGTATTGTAGGATGTGTTTAGGGCTCGGTTTAGGTGATATGTGTGGTTGTTTTGGGACTTGGTGTGAAGCTGGATGTTCGGTAGTCGTGGACTGAATCGAGGGGTGGAAATATGAGGTTTGGGAGGTTCCCGTGATGATATGGAACGATTACGGTTTGAATCCGTGAGATTTGGTGTGATTCTCGGATTCGTGACTACTGTACCCGTCCGGTTTGCTATTTTTGTGGAGAATTTTTTGGGCCGAATTTTAGGAAGTTTACTTCATGAAAGTTTCTCCCAATATCTTGACGTATAACATATTTTAAATTTGGAATTTTTGGAGGCCATTTGGGTCGCACGAAAACCCATTTTCAGACCGTCTTAAAACTGCCGGAACACTGTTCATCCCGACCTTCTTGTCTTGCCGAATTTTTATAAAATTTTCCAGATTTATTTTCAATAAAATTCCTTCACAAAATTTGTTGGTGACTTTCTTTTCTACGACATATAAAAATTTCAAAGCTTTTTAAGGTAATTTGGGTGTTGAAAGAAATGTATTTTGAGGACAAAACAGTCTGTTAAAGTGAACTGATTTTGGTCTGATTTCGAGGAACAAAAAGGCATGGTTGCAGATTGAACCGGATTTCATGTTCTTCATAAGAAATGTTTATCAAGATGTTTTTTATGATATATCCAAAATTTAAAATTTTTGGAGTTCGATTACTATTTATTTTGATGGGATTTCGGTCACTGTGTAAACTGCCCTCGTGACGGGAATTGATACCTGAATGTGTATCTGCATGTTCTAGGGGCTGAATTGAAATGGTTGAATTGGGTGCATTGAATTAATGTTCGGGTATGTGTGACCGTGTGGTGTGATTGTGTGATGGTGAAATGTATGTGGAGCATGTGATTGTGTGGCGGTGTGATATGTGTGGCCGCGTGGCTCGTGTGGTACGATGATACGAGATGATTGGAATGGTTGGAAAAGTGGTACCCTGAGGCGTGTTCGTTTACGCGGGGTAGGTTCTGTCCTGAGGCGTGTTCGTTTACGCGGGACGACGCCATCCCTGACGAGGTGACGATGCCCGGCCCGACGGGGTGGCGATGCCTGATGAGGTCAGAAGACCGTTGGCCTGATGCGTTTTACGTGGGCGCGATAGAGAAGGAAGTGAGAAGGTAGGATTCCATCCTGAGGCGTGTTCATTTACGCGGGACGATGCCGTCCCTGACGAGGTGACGATGCCCGGCCCGACGGGGTGGCGATGCCTGACGAGGTCAGAAGACCGTTGGCCTGATGGGTTTTACGCGGGTGCGGTAGTGGTGGAAAGATTGAGAACGGGTTGGACTTGGCAAGACGTGTGAGACTTGTGAAAGTTGACCGTGGTGTGAGTTCGTGTGCGAATGTGGTTTGTATCGAGTGTCGTAGCACTCGAATATGGGGTAAAATCTACTAGGCATGGTATGGGACGTGCCCAAGTAGGTTTTGCCTTATAATCGAGGCACGCGCACGGCTGTGATGCATTATTGTGGCATGTTGGCTGTGTTATTATCTGACGTTCATTTGGAGCTTAAGAAGAGATTTTAATTGGAAGTTCATCGAAGCAATTATAGTATTCACTGGACAGCACGAAAATATACCATAAATTTTGATAGCATTATTAGTGGGATGAAATGGGAGAAAGGAAGAAAGAAACGTCATCACCCACATTTGTTGGATGGCTGAGTATAGTTGCAATTTTCGAGGACGAAATTTTTATTAGGGGGGAAGAATTATAACAGTCTGAATTTTCGATCATTTTCCTGGGAGTTATGAAATGAATATTTGGCCAATGCACTTATAGTGAGATCTCACCCGGAACTGCGCATTCTCGGGATGCTAACCTTAGGGGTAAGGCCATCACGGGATTGAGTTCACACGACTAAAGAACTCGACCTAGGTTCGACCTTCGGCCATAAGGATTGACGAGGGAATGTTTTGGGCCAACAGAGACCGATCTATTTGATTGATTGTGTCCGAAGGGAACTAGCGACAGACTCTTGCAATTACATGACAATCGAGGTCGCCCTGGTTCGAGCAAACTTAAATGTGATTTGACTTAGTGTCGGTCACGGGTCGAGAGCGCGTAATCCTAATGAGCCACCCGTTAGCCAAAGATAAGCTAAAGTCGCGATTGTTCGATTCTAGTCATTTCTTGGAATTCGAGCCCGGGAATCGAGAATTTTGAAAGTGACAATTTTGAGCGGCCGATGACGTTTTTGGCTTGGCCAACCTTGGGGCCACCCATTTCTGCAAAAAAATGGATTTCGATTCGGGACCGAAAAAATGACCATTTTGCCCCTGGACCCTGTGCTGGGTATTCCGAATTTTGGACTGGAAATTTGGAATTAATTAAGATATGTTTTCAGCTCAATTATTGGGGCTAATGACCATAATACCCCTCAATTATTGGATAAGATTAAATCCAAGCCTTTGGATCAAGGGCATTTTGTTCAAAGCAATGGAGATGGTGACACATGGA